AAAAAACACAGTCAGCATCACTCAAAAAAAAATTAAAAAGAAGAATGTAGTCGCGCTCTCCCTCTGGAATGTAATGTATCAAATGGTAACGTTGGAAGATAGCTCCTTAAAATACTGAAATGAGGCTTTGAAGGTGTTTACAGCATGCCACCAACATGCAAGGGATGCTCTCGGGGTAAAGTGTTGGAAAGAGCAGCTGTGTGCATTGGCACTTGTACTATAACTATGGGACCACAGTCAAATACACTACTACGAAATGGGGCTGGCAGCGGTGGAGAACTCTGACAATGGAGGAGTCGCTGGGCTCCCCTCCCATACAGTTGGCACGTCATTGGCATTTTCTTAGAGGAGTTCACAATGAAAAAAAACCTACACGGCATACCCCCGATTATCCGAATAGCGTAAGGGACACAGATTTGATTGGGATAATCAGGAGTTCGGATAATCGAGTGGGGCAGGAACTGTTCAGCCATTCAGCAGTGGGGTGAGATCCCCTGTGGCCGGGGGCTTGTCCTCCTCCTCGCAGTCCCAGCCAGGGGTCTGTGTTCTGCCCTTTTCACTTACTTCCATGACATTCAATCCCTGCAGACACAAACTGCGGGGAAGAGGCCGCAGCCTTGCCTGCACCTGCGAGATTAGGTGTCACCGGTCCTGCAGCAGCACAGGCGAGCCCCCCTCAGCTCCATTGCCACAGCCCTGCTCATTCAGCCCATGACAGCAGGGCTGCAGAGGGCTCCATACGCTGCCACATTAAGCAGCAGGGTGGCTTCCCCCACGGCCAGGAGGCTCGTCCTCCTCACAGTCCTGGCCAGGGTCTCTGCTCATAGTTAAACACTCATTAGAATCCTGGAGATCAGGGTTTCCTTATCCATTATCTGACCCCTTTTTTACATTACTCCACTCAGTGCGAAGTCAGTGACTAGTACTGGTGCTCAGACTTTGCTTCCTGTTAACACCTGCAGGGGAACTCAACTTGTATGTCCCGCTCTGTGCACCTCAAAAGGCCTTGCAGGTTTAAGGCCTTAAAAACACTCAGTAACATATTGGACAGTTGACAGAATGGGATTCAACAGGAACATGCCACACATGGAACAAGGCTAACTTGATACCAGATTTTACCGTTTTCTTCTCCACACGTCAATGTCTGATAAGCAAGTGCACAGCCCCAGCAAGGCTTTCTACCTCTAACTGCTGGGGCTCTATTAACTGGGTCTATATCTCAAAAAGCAGATGGAGGCCTTTGAGGAAGCTTTTTGAGTGATTTTCCAGGAAACCCCTGGAGAATATACACCGTCAAACAAATGAAAGAGTTTTTATTGGTTCATTACCTCAGTCAAGAGAGTCCAGTCTTAAAATATTTGATTTTCTGCACTGAGTTTCTCTCAAGTGTTAAGAACGCAGCAAGGAAGACACTGGAAGCATAACAACTATACCGCTCTCCTGGTTCCACTGCCACCACTTCCATGTCTTTCCCGGCCTCCTGCCAGGGAAATGGACTAAATACAGTGCTTCTCCTGCAAGTGCTCCTGACTCCAATGAATTTTCAGAATGCAAAGCTGCCCAACTACTAGACGAGGATGCCCACCACATGGTGGAACAATATCACCAACTGAAAGCCACACCACTTTGGCTGCAACACGCCCTCTTTCCAAACATCAGCCTCAAAGACCACCAAGGTTCCAGATGAAGCATGAAGACAAAAAACTGTAAGACTGTTGGCACAAAACCCACTCAGGATACATCAGACATGAGCACAAGAATTTCTTACAGGAAGGCTCTAGCACTGTGAAATAAATGATAAATGACTTCTTCCCCTCTGCCATACAAAACCATGGTCAGCAAAACCGTTCTGAAAAGCAACACAGCTCCCTGGGCATCAGAAACCAAACATCAGAGCCTAGCATCACCCTCCCTGAAGAATTCCAGGATTTGGTTTTTGTTGTCTCAAGGGAGGAGGAGCATTGTTCCCAGCCCTACTACCAGACTAGAGAGTAATAACCATCACACCACCTTTGAAAATACTGGAAGTTGAGAGATGTCTGGGCCCCTGCTTGTGAAAAAGGTTGTCTTCTCTGGCTAGGGAAAGCAAGCCAAGAGGACTAAAATGATCAATGCCTCATTCAGTCCATCAGTTTTCAAGGAACGATCTGTTCATGCAGACAGTCTCTCTACATGCCAACTGGTCTTCCCTCCCTGAGAAAGCAGTCACAACCAAACTCCAGCAACACAAGGTACCCACTGATTTCTGGATCTAGCAGCTCTGAGGTATGACTTCATTATGCTTCTGGTTTACAGATACACCCAGATCTCTAATGAGAGAAAGCAAAACTCCAGATTGGGATATCCCTGAACTTGGTCTTGGTCTCATTTCTAGAGTGAACCAGATAAATACTCTGGGTGGGGCTTAAACAGAGTACTGCACAACTGTGCAGTTATATCACGCTCTGATATACTTGTAGTGAATTGCAACCTTGCTGTAACAGAAGGGGGAAAATAATCTACATCAGGAAACCACAGACTTCCCTAATGTGTTACAGTGCATAATTGAATATAAAGAATAGTTATTGCTTGAACTGAGATTTCCAGCTTCCAGCGCAGATACTCTGTTGCTGCTAAGCTATAATAATAATTTCTAATGGTGTGGTTTTTAAGTGAAAACAGAAAGAAATATTATTTGATTGGCTACTGTAAACTATTCTCTGCAATGCCCAGCAGGTCAATGGAACAACCCAAGGAATTCACAGAACTCTCACCTGAGCAATCTTAGCAGAAGCTGTGAACTAATGAACCAACACGGTAGTACCAGCATGCCCATTACACAATTAGAGACAAAGTATTCAACGCCCTGAGATTGTCACACCACCTTGCTAATGAACCATGTTTTACACACATTTAATTAATTAATTATGGTTGAAGTCACTCGCTGCTAGTCAGTAAATGCTTTCTTATACACAGATCTGACCACCTTACAAATACTATGCTGGCGTGCTAGCGAGGTCTTGAGATTGTGCATTACTAGGAATTTTAGTGGAATCAGGCAATAAAAAGATCAAATAGCAAATAAAAGGTCTTGTAATCCAAGCAAGATAATTAATTACACCTCCGGTCTCCCAGCTTTTCTTGTACTTTATAAGAAAAAAGGGGTTTCTAATCAAGATAATTTGACCCTATTTTAGAAAAAAAATGGAGTTAAATGATACTAATACCATTTAGCACATATGTCAAGAATTGTGATTTGCATTGTGGTATCACGTCAGGGCTCCAACAAAGATTAGGTCACATTGTGCTAGAGCCATGGTTCAAATCCATAGCAAGCAATGAATGGTCCCTGCCCCAAATTGCTTACAGTCTAAATAGACAAGACAGATGAGTGGGCAGAGGCCCAGAGCGGGGACGGTCACACAACTGTTCTGTGGTAGAGCCAATGGTCCAGTGGTTCTCAAACTAGGGCCGCCGCTTGTTCAGGGAAAGCCCCTGGCAGGCTGGGCCAGTTTGTTTACCTGCAGCGTCCGCAGGTTCGGCTGATCGTGGCTCCCACTGGCCGCGGTTCGCCACTCCAGGCCAATGTGGGCTGCAGGAAGCGGCACGAGCCGAGGGACGTGCTGGCCACCCTTCCTGCAGCCCCCATTGATCTGGAGCAGCGAACCGCGACCAGTGGGAGCCGCGATTGGCCGAACCTGCGGATGCGGCAGATAAACAAACCGGCCTGGCCCACCAGGGGCTTTCCCTGAACAAGCGGCAGCCCACGTTTGAGAACCACTGCAATGGTCCATATCTCTCATGTCTCACACTCTTTACTGGACAAGCACAGCTACCCGTGAGACACATTGGCTGAGGTCCTCCAGGTGGCCCAGATCCCCAGATGTCCATGGAAATGAGGGGCCTAAATACATTTGAAGATCTCGGCCATTATATCTGGCCCTGGTGCATGAGACGAAAGGAGCTGGATACAAGGGGCCACCAATGCACTCAAGCAAAATGGCAGTCCCCCAGTTAGAGGGTGCAGGGATCCCTCTCTACTGTCACCCAAACCACTCCAAAAGAGAAGGGGAAGGCCAGGGAGAGGTACAGCTTTGGGTCTGCCCTTCTTTCACATCTTCCCACCGTAAAAGGCAGGCACACCAGCATGAGCAAGCTGCACCATCCCCCAGAACCAGTGAGCTGCAAAAGGTGTTGTGCCCTCTCAGAGTTCCTCCTGGGGCTGGACAGCTCTGCTTCACCCCAATACAAGCCTGTGTGTGTCTGGCACAATCTGGCCTGGAATAAACGGAAACAGGCAAACGACACGCATGCCAACTGAGGGCTGCACTGACAACCTGCCAGGGCCCCCGTGACCACACAGGTGCCCAATCCTCTCCCCACTGAAGTCAACAAGAGTTTGGTCACTGAAATCAACCGGAGCAGGATTTACCCACTAATCTGCACGCCAATTTACATACACTTTACAATATAAAGTAATTGCACATGCCCATCGTAGAGCCAAGGGTACTCGCATCTTCGTTGAGAGAGGAGACCACCAGCAAGAAAGAGCACCAGTTAATCTGGCACGTCCTCACGTGGCAGCTACAGCCAAGAGGAAGCCACAGGCCACATTACATGATTCCAGGGGCTGAATTTTTGGCACCCCTGGTTGAATGAGAACTACAACCTGCCCTGCCCTATTGGTTTTATTGTTTCAGCATTACCATAGGGGCACCCACCCCTCCATCCGTCCCTGTTTAGGAGGATGATCTCACCCTGTAATTAAAGTACAGGATGGAACATCAAGAGATCTAGGTTCTGTCCTTTACTTTGCCACTGACTTCTTGTGTGACCTGGCCCAAGATACTTCCCCAGCTCCTGGATTGGAAGAGTGAGAGACAGGTCCGACTCCCCACAATGATTTCCTAGTTCATAATGCCAGCAGACAATCCCCCTATCTCAAAGCCACACACAGGGCAGGAGCGCCCACAACTCAGGGGAGGAGGAGAGAGAACTGCACCAGTCAGAGATGGGCTTACCTCCGACCACTTCCTGATCCCAGAACCCAGAGCCAAAACCCCATCACGCCTGCTATGGGAAAACAGCCTTCTCCTGCTGCCAACTATTGTTGTTACTCCTGTAGCTTAAGTCCTGCAGCAGTTTAAGGTTCAAAGCCTGTTAATGATTCGGGATGGGGGGGGAGGGCGGGTTGTTACAGTTGTACATAATAGAACTTGGTTTTGCTTTTTTTCTTTCAAAATAAAGACTAGAAAATGACACTGAAAACCACCACATTAAAAGAACATTATTTAGGTTGCAACAATCAAGCCCTCTAAAGTTAGGAAATGCCATATTTACAGTTGCACGTGCAACCTTGATTCTGCCCCCCTTCTGTACACTCATTTTCAGACAGTATTTAGGCATGTGATCAGATTGTTTGTTTTTTTCTACAGAGTCCCTACATCAGTCGGTGCACAGGCTGGACGCAGAAGGCACAGGCAACCGTAAATCTGGCAGTTCCCAATTTTTGAGCGCTTGATTTTACAACCTAAATAACGTTCTTCTAATGTAATTACACCTCTACCCCGATATAACGCCGTCTTCGGGAGCCAAAAAATCTTACCGCGTTATAGGTGAAACCACGTTATATCAAACTTGCTTTGATCTGCCGGAGTGCGCAGCCCCGCCCCCCCGGAGCACAGCTTTACCGCATTATATCCGAATTCGTGTTATATCGGGTCGCGTTATATCGGGGTAGAGGTGTATTACATGTGTATGTATGTACCCACACTCCCAATACAAATCCGTGGCGCACTGATGTATGCGCAGCCTTTCCATAGTCTCAGTTAATTTAGGCCGGCCATGGTTTCCACAGTTCTTTACACCCCTCTGTGAAGTGTCCAAAGGAGCAGAGGAAACCGTACTTCAAATTTAGCTCATTTCTCTCTGTATCTAGATTCAAATTTTCACTACACTTAAAAGTCTTAGTTCACTGGCTCAGACCTTTATCTCCCTCACCCAATTACTTCTATTTCCACATGATTTCTGTTACCTCTTGTACTCCTTCCACATCCTACAGTCCATCATTAGTTAATTCCCGTTGACTTGAACATTAATACGCTACCAAATTGGTTTGTCTCATGCCTACTTCCTCTTCATTCTTCTATTTTTATTTTTGTATATTTTGACCTCCTTCCTCCCATTTATTTTCCTCCTACGTAAACTATGATTTTTATTGATGCTGAACGCAGCCCTCAGGCCAAAAATTATAGTAAGCCTCAAACCAAGTGGCTGCATTGCTTCAGTTTTTAACAGTTTCATTTCAGAAGTAAAAGAAAAATGTTGCTAAATTTCCTTTTCTATATTTCTGAAAGCTACTGAAGAAGTTGCACATACAATAAATATTTAATAGGACTTCCCCTCCAGCTGAATTCAGGCCCCACGGCATCTCATTACCATGTCTTGGAATAGCATCCTTATTGTCACTTGCTTAATTATGCTAAGGAAGAGTTGAATTGTGTGGCTGTTGGGATCAGAAAGTGATTAAATTCAGTTGGCAAGACTTTGGATAGCTCATTATGATCCTCATTTAGCGCTTCTAATGGAGGGGTTTTAAAAAAAAAAATTGTTAACCATACTGATTTCGGACAAGCTTGATCAATTTTGAAACATTTCCCTAACATTTTATAGAACTTTCTGCCAAGCAAGAACAATACTGAAAAGATTAAAAGTTATTTTATACGCTACTGTACCCGCTAGATTTTTGAACCACCATCATCCCTTGCAGAAAACAAAGGGGAAACTCCTAGAAATGTACATACAGTTTCTGACAGATTTGGGGTGAATTCTGTGCACTAACACTTGCTGGACATATCTTTGTGCATTCATGATTGTAAATGACAGCGTGCTACTAAGTAACTCTCCAGACAATTGTTCAACTGTTTCTCGAGAGTTTGTCATTTCAGGGGGGCAGTTTCTGTGCTGCGTGTTGTTGGAGGCTCTGTGCAATCCCCACTTCAGATGAATGAAATTCAGTTCTTTGCAGGAGACCAGGTCTATGCACTACCTGAGTCCAACCCAGAAGACCTCAAAATAAGATTTAAGTGGTGTGCAGATGCTAACCGTCTGTGCAGGTGGTTACTTTCACCCTATGAGATCGGATCATAGAATCATAGACTATCAGGGTTGGAAGGGACCTCAGGAGGTCATCTAGTCCAGTGTTTTTCAAACTGGGGTCGCCACTTGTATAGGGAAAGCCGCTGGCGGGCTGGGCCAGTTTGTTTACCTGACCCGTCCGCAGGTCCGGCCGAACCGTGGCTCCCACTGGCCGCGGTGCACTGCTTCCAGCAGCCCCCATTGGCCTGCAGCGGTGAACCGCGACCAGTGGGAGCTGCGATCAGCCAGACCTGCGGACGGGACAGGTAAACAAACCGGCCTGACCCACCAGGGGCTTTCCCTACACAAGCGGTGACCCCAGTTTGAGAAACACTGATCTAGTCCAACCCTCTGCTCAAAGCATGACCAACACCAACTAAAACAAATCTAGATCACAGAGACTGCTCTGTTAAAACTGACACGTGAGAATTTACCAGCACACGTGTACTGCACTCAATTTATACTGACAACATCACAGTAAGACAAACTCTCCTGGGAAAGTTTACATGGCAGTCACAAAGGAGACATGCTGTTCACAATTTTTTAATCTGGCAAGAAATTCTCCAAGAGCATAATACAAAGGAAATGACCCATCCAGTTAATATTTGGTGGGGGGGACATGGAAAATGTCTACTCTAATTGACTTTATGGTTATATTCTCATCTCAGTGCAGAAAAAGTGATGGAAACAGATCCCTGCCACACAATGAGATAGGAGTAACATAACCAAAGTCTCAGTAAGAAGTTTTCACTGAAAGGCATGATTCCGAATGGCAGGAATAAGCAACATTTATCTTAAGAGTTCTACTCAAAGAACCCACAAATGCCTCCCTTTTTCTCGCCACAAACCTCCTGACCTGCTTTTATGATCTACCATTGCAGCCAAGCAGCTGACTCTGCCACCTCTGTGTGCTGCAGAGATTTACTCAGGAAACAAAGGGCCTACCCAAACCCTGGCAGAAGCCTGCTGTAAGAATCCCACCACTTTACAAACATGAAATCAGCAATCCTCTCCACACCCCAATGAGATAGCTAAAATACTGTCCTTCCCATTTTACAGATGGAGAAAACTGACACGTAGAGAGAGAGGTTACGTGATTTGCTAAAGGTCACACAGAAAATAATCAGCAAGGCCATAACCAGAAAATAGGAGCTTCTGACTTCCCATGCAGAGTTCATTCCTTCAGGCCACACTGACTCTTTAACAAGAGAATCTGTATCTACATTTTTGACCTAAATAAAATATATTTGCTGTTATTATTATGTGTATTGTGGTAGCGTTTAGGAGCCCCAGTTATGAAGCAGGGCCCAACTGTGTAAGGTCCTGTACAAATAGAGAAGTTAAAGACAGTCCCTGCTCCAAAGCCCTGACATGATCAGTTATAGGAATCTTGGCTTGGAAGGCCCCGCCTGTTAGGATATAGATATTCAGGCCTGTTTGTAAAGGCCTATACTTTAAGAATTTAGGTGTAATTTTAATTCTTTCTTAGCTTATGGCTGCCTCTGTTGCTTAGCTAAAGGCCTTACTTAGCCTAAGAACAAAGCCTCAAACTGTCCCTTACACATACAGACAGTGATTTTAATTCTTTCTTTTATACCTCTATAACTAGCTAAGTAATAAAAATACACCTACATTCTTAAAGTATAGGCCTTTACAGACAGGCCTGAATATCTATATCCTAACACCGCCTCCTTCTCTCATAGAAGTCAGTGGAAGAGCTCCCATTTACTTCACTGGGACCAGGGATTGGGCTCTAAATACCTAACTGGAAATATATTCCACTGTAGTTGTTTTTACTTTCAAGTTCTACCCTAATATTCACATAAACAAGAGTCACCCTCAACCTTCCAAAGGCAAATGATATCTTTCTTTACCTTCTCGTTCTTTTGGTGCGACTTCCTTCTCTTGTGGGGATCTATAAAATTGCACATTCTTTCATCCATGTAAGAAATGAGATACTAGACTAGATCCTTAGCGGACTGGTGTGCCCCTACTGAAGCCAATGGGCCTATGCTAATTGACAACAGATGATGAGCTTCCTCCCCAAACCCCTTTTTCTCCCTCTCTCTTTTTTTTTTTTAAATAAGGTTTGTGATTATAATGCAAAGATTTTCCCTAAATGTTATCAGGACATTCTAAAGGTATCCTCAGATATTCTGAAAGCTCTTGAGTCTGATTATATTTAGCATCTGTATCTTTCTGCGGCTTTCTTTATGTAGACTTCCAAACTTCTGGGGATGTTTGCAAATTCTAAATGCGCATCTCCTACATTTCTTTAACGTTTATTCATACAAAAAGGAAATGGCCCCCAAAAAACTAAAAGCCTCTAGACCACCACCAAACCAAGATTTGTGGCTCTCCAGAGAGCAATTTTTTAGTGTCTCTGTTCAAGCCAGTCCTGGAGATTGACTTTTAAGGTTGATGGTATTGATCTTACTCACAGCCCTCTACTCATTTATCATGATTCTTTAATCGATAGTCTAGCTACTTAAGATACTGGGACTTTGGGTCCTTATTTATCTAGGTGACATTTTCATAGTGCCTATCTCCTCAGAGGTAGTATTTTAGGTGACCTATTCATTTCTCCATGGTGTGTAAACAATAGGGAGAAATTGGTATAACTCCTCTGAGTATATCTTTTGTATTGTTGGCTTTAGTCTGTTCCAATTAGATGGTGAGACCACAGTTTTGACTTATTAGGTGGTTTAATCATCAAACACTTGTCCTATGAGATTACGGACCAGCGCCACAGCTAGCGTATTGGTATAGCTTCAGCAGAGCTATGCTGATTTCCACCAGCTGAGATCTAGCCTCCATTGTCTCTGTTACCATTTCATTTGGTCAACTCCACCTTATAGGGAGATTTTAACACCACAAAAGGGACTTTGAAGTCTACCCAACAGTGATCCCAAGTATGGCAGCGCTCTACATTCTCTCTCCTTACCCTTTTCTCCCTAAATAGCGAGAATAATCTAAAAAAGTTCCTCTTGAGCTCTGA